GTCGATGGGCACATACAATGGTCCCATGGCTTGGTTTCTGTAAACAATGCAATGATAAGCACAGCTGTACCGGCACCTCTGTGGTATGCTGACTTGGATTCATTTGGAATATAACCAGAGGCTGTACAGTTAGGTCGTATTGTAGTTTCATTTTAGTTTTTTGAGGAATCTCTATATTGACTTCCACAGTGAGACCCAGAACTTTCTACCCCCCTTTATGTATGGATACAACTACTCGGCTATAGTTTTGAGTTGGTTCCTAACTCCTTGACACGGAGTCTGCCACCCATCTGGGTCTTCTGTCATCTGGGCCCCTTAGTCTGGGCATCCTCCCGTGGTATTGGGAACATGGACACTGACATCCATGTGGGTCCTGCCCTTGCTGGGTTAAACTGTCCAGAGCCAATGGGACTCCTCCACTCTTTGCAGGTCCCATGGAGACATTGCAGAGTAACCGGTGACAGCATCCCTTGCTGCTGTTTAGGGACTGCCTGGGTGAATGGGGCACATACAGGCCAGTGGAGAGTGATGATGATATGTGGTCAGTGAACGCACAGTACCTGACCTAACCCCTTGCAAAGGAAGTGGCTGGAGGAAGTCAGTCAAAGCCCTCAGAATGGAAAGTTGAGTGACTGGAGGCGGCCCTGCCATTTGACATCTGAATCAGAGCAGACTGAGGGTGGAATTAAAATTGTATATGTGTGGGCATTTTGCTGGCATCTATGTTTGTGTACCACATGCATGCCTGGTGCCCGCAGAGGCCAGAAGAGGGCATTGGATCCCCTGGAACTGGGGTAACACATGGCTGTGAGTGACCATGTGGAGGCTGGGAACCGAACCCAGTTTCTTTGAAAGAGCAGCTGGTGCTCTTAAGCCCTGAGCCACAACTGTAGCCTCTGGGGTTGAATTTAAAAAGTTGCTAAGTATGGATAGAGCTGGAAAAAAAAAAAAATCATCTGTAATGCAAATTACACTCAGCCACTCCTGTTTATCGCTGTACATTAAGTCCCCCAAACATTGACACACAAACTTGCCAGACTAAAGGAAACGAGGCCTATTACATCAAGCAGCAAACACTTCAAAAGACCATTTCATGCATGTTCTGAACACTAGCAAACACCTGTGAACAAGATGGGGCTTATTCTGGAGCACGGACAGATCACGTGTGTGAATGCATACAATAGTCGCCCTTGGAAGTACTCTATACAGCCAGAATTTAGAAAGGAGAAGTAGTATATGCATGGTTTCTGAGGCGTTCTTTGTCGGTTTATAAAAGGATCCTCTGTAGCTGCGGTGTGCTTATGTATGTACATGTCTGTGTGCAGATATGTGTGCCTGTGTGGAGGTCAGAGGATGGCCCCAGGCATCCTGCTTTCTCATTCTCTGCCTTAAGACAAGGTCTCTGCCTGAACTGGCTTTTTGGCTTGGCTGGCAGTCAGCAAACCTCAGGGTTCTTCCTGTCTCCATCCTTCACCCCAGTTACTGGAGTGATGGATACGCCTAGCCACATCTGCTTTTTTTCTGAACTCAGGTCTCTTGCTCGACCCAGCAAGCGCTTACCCACGGAGCCCACTCGTCAGCAACCATGCCGTCTCCTGCCGGCCTCTAAATGTATTGCACTCTCTATACATATTTAAGGTTTAAAACGTTAAAGAGGAATCGGCAGGCTATACTGTTACATTCTATTACATATCTCGTTTTATATTACTTACGCAACGTATAGATAAGGACGGTTTTAAGCTACAATGCAATTTTCTTGTAATCAAGTTTTTCGATATGAGGAAGGCTTTTCTCTTCACTGTGCTCCCAGAAGTTTCTAGTATATTCCATGCTGCTGAACAGTGGGGTGAATTAATGTTTTTATTACCTATGTGTATGTGTGTCTGCACGAGCATATTGGTATGTGTGCATCAGCATGAGTGTATGCACGTGTGTGTTTGGGTGTCCATGGAGGCCAGAAGGCATTGGATCCCTTGCAGATGGACTTACAGACACCTGAGAACCACCCCTCAGGATGCCGGGTCCTTCTGATAAAAACCGGAAACGCTCTTTCCAGGCCCACACACTGCAGCTTCTGATAGCAAGTAGATGCGTCCAACTGCGCTTCGGTCCTCCCACTCACTCCTTTCCCTGTGTCTGTTCCTATGCTTACTTCTCAGTGGGAACAGTGACAGCTGGGTGGTTACAAGCAGAAAAGGGACCACGAACCCAAGGCTCTCTACAGAATCGCAGCAGCTTTATACGCAGTGTCCTTGTCCCCTTGTAAGAACTGACCATGCTACGTTACGCTTCAATTGCCAAAATTTCCATGACTTAGGACAATCTGAATGCTTGATATTTGGTTTCATACTTAAAACC